ATTTCTAACTTAGACAATATGGGCCTGTATTTGCTTGCGATTGTGATCAAGTAAAATGAAACAAAATGTGTTAATTGTTTTCAATATGCTGGAATTTTAATTTGTTAACAGGGCTGTCACTGGTTAGCTTCCCTTGTTTTAAGTGTTAAACTTAAATTTGCATCTGCTCACTTCATAGCTGAAACAGCAGTCACATTTTTGACTTTCACTCGTGTACACTTGAAATAGAATACTGGCTGAGTAAGGACTCAAACCTGACGAACAGATGTTAGTAATATAAAAGTGTTTGATCATTAAACTTGTAAACATAACACAGATCGAGTCCGTTGTGTGTGTGCATGTATGTTTTGTTATTTCTATTTTATTTTTATTTTTTTCCAAAATGAGCTCTTTGAGAAGAAGCTGGGCCTAGAACAAGAGAAAGACAGTGCATTGATTATAATTGCCTTACCTGAAGGTAGCATCCAGTGGACCAACTCAAACGATGCAGAAACCCAGCAAATCCCAATTAAAACGAACACAGTCATGAACAAAGCTTCTGCTGTGCGTTTTGTCAGGAACAGAACAAAAGAGTGATTAAAGCTGCTTGTTAAGGGGGAAAGTGTGACTCATCTGCCTCAAAGCAGAGCAAATTTTGGATATCTAATAAGTGACTTGGGAATTTCAGTTAATAATTTCACAGTTTTAATCTTCCCATCTGAAATATAAAGGAAAAATTAGTTTGCCGTAATGTATTTCAGCAAGCTTTATGTCTTTTTAGATCGGGAGAATGTCTTTTGGATCTTTTGTGGCCTGAAAGCAGCTTCATTCAAGCAACCTTCCATCTGACTATTACCCATCCAGATAAGTTGTGTATTGCGGTCCTGAAAGCAAGTAAAAAGGAGGTAGTATATGACTATCTGATACTTATATCTTAGTTTTAAAAGAACCCTTTCATGATGCTGGAACCAAACACACAAAAAAGAGGAGAAAATGGAATGAAAACCATCCATTTATTACCTGAAACTAAATACATCTTGACTGCATACTGAAACTGTGACATCACATATTATTATTATTATTATGATTATTATTATAGCAATAATAATAGTAATAATAGGCCTATGTTACTAATGATTTCTTTGTTTATTTATTTATTTTGCCGTCATTCACTATTTGTCACAAATTTAATCCGTGTGACTGAGCATAGCTGTCCTCTGGGTTCTCAGTCATGTGGCACAGACAAGTCATGTGACATGGCTGCTTTGCTTTGGCTCAACCACTAAAAACAAATACTAGAAACAAAAAGTGAATCAGCCAAACATGCATTTTATATAATTATCGCTGAAATCAACACCAACTGAGTGGCTTGTGAGTATTAAAGTAATGATCCAGACGTATCGATTCTCCGGTCCCTGCATCACAAACCACCAGCTCTGTCTAATGAGAAAGTCTGTCATGAGTCCTTTGACCTCTTAATAACAGGCAATAGCACGGACAGAATAAGATATCAATACGATACCTTTTTTTCCCCTTCGCATATCGTCTAGAGCATCACACAATTTAGTGGAGCTCTACTCCATAGGTGCAACATTATGTAACTGTTCTATTTGTGAAACACTGTTAAAGTACACAGCAATTACCCAACTGTTGTGCTGCTCGCGACAATGGCCCTGGGACAACGGCAGCACAGCTAGATCAAACAGTTGTGCTAAATTAAAGAGCGGGTTATCAGACCAGGCAGGAGTGTTTGATGTGCAGAGATGAGATGCATTATTATGGTAAATAAGCCTCCCTTATCAAGCTATTCCTACAGGGCCCTCTGGCTGAGCAGCCCACAGTCGTGTGTGCCCTTGGTCAGACAAATAGATGCACACATACACGCACACACACAACACACAACACACATGACAGGATCAGTGCCTGAGAGCATAAATACATGCTCTGTTGATCCTTTACACTCCACTCCAAACAGCCGCCTGCTCTCCAAATGTCAGTCAGTGTCTGGCATAATTTGTTTCTAATCATTGGCAAAGAGTGAGAAAATGTCACCCTTTTCCAAGGAGGATGAATTTCGATTGATTTCCAATTAGCACTAAACAAAATGCCAGTTTGCTTTTTTTTTTCTCGGTCTGCGTGTGTAAGAGAGAGAGAGTGCTTGTATTTGTGTGATATTTAAGATCAGAGGAAACTGATAATGCATCACATCAAGCCCTGAGGCGCAAAAGGGTCCCTGAAGTTCTCAGGCTGAGCCCTACAAATACTGTTGTTCAGCTCTTAGCATGCATTCAGAGAACTAAAACGCATAACTAAATTCATCACATATTGGAAAACAATAAAACATTAACCACTAATGAATGATTCAAAATCTCGGTTTGTGTTACAGGACGAAATGTGTTTTAACAAAATAAGAGAACAGCAATAAAGACGAATTAGTTTAATATTCTATTTCGTCCTGTTTTTTATCCTATTCATTTATCCAGTTATTGTTGATCTCATATTTCTATAATGAGCATTTACAGTGGGGCAAAAAAGTATTTAGTCAGCCACCGGTTATGCAAGTTCCCCCACCTAAAATGATGACAGAGGTCAGTAATTTGCACCAGATGTACACTTCAACTGTGAGAGACAGAATGTGAAAAAAAAAATCCATGAATCCACATGGTAGGATTTGTAAAGAATTTATTCGTAAATCAGGGTGGAAAATAAGTATTTGGTCAATAACAAAAATACAACTCAATACTTTGTAACATAACCTTTGTTGGCAATAACAGAGGTCAAACAGGTTTGCACACACAGTAGCTGGTATTTTGGCCCATTCCTCCATGCAGATCTTCTCGAGAGCAGTGATGTTTTGGGGCTGTCGCCGAGCAACACGGACTTTCAACTCCCGCCACAGATTTTCTATGGGGTTGAGGTCTGGAGACTGGCTAGGCCACTCCAGGACTTTCAAATGCTTCTTACGGAGCCACTCCTTTGTTGCCCGGGCGGTGTGTTTTGGATCATTGTCATGTTGGAAGACCCAGCCTCGTTTCATCTTCAAAGTTCTCACTGATGGAAGGAGGTTTTGGCTCAAAATCTCACGATACATGGCCCCATTCATTCTGTCCTTAACACGGATCAGTCGTCCTGTCCCCTTGGCAGAAAAACAGCCCCATAGCATGATGTTTCCACCCCCATGCTTCACAGTAGGTATGGTGTTCTTGGGATGCAACTCAGTATTCTTCTTCCTCCAAACACGACGAGTTGAGTTTATACCAAAAAGTTCTACTTTGGTTTCATCTGACCACATGACATTCTCCCAATCCTCTGCTGTATCATCCATGTGCTCTCTGGCAAACTTCAGACGGGCCTGGACATGCACTGGCTTCAGCAGCGGAACACGTCTGGCACTGCGGGATTTGATTCCCTGCCGTTGTAGTGTGTTACTGATGGTGACCTTTGTTACTTTGGTCCCAGCTCTCTGCAGGTCATTCACCAGGTCCCCCCGTGTGGTTCTGGGATCTTTGCTCACCGTTCTCATGATCATTTTGACCCCACGGGATGAGATCTTGCGTGGAGCCCCAGATCGAGGGAGATTATCAGTGGTCTTGTATGTCTTCCATTTTCTGATGATTGCTCCCACAGTTGATTTTTTCACACCAAGCTGCTTGCCTATTGTAGATTCACTCTTCCCAGTCTGGTGCAGGTCTACAATACTTTTCCTGGTGTCCTTCGAAAGCTCTTTGGTCTTGGCCATGGCGGAGTTTGGAGTCTGACTGTTTGAGGCTGTGGACAGGTGTCTTTTATACAGATGATGAGTTCAAACAGGTGCCATTCATACAGGTAACGAGTGGGGGACAGAAAAGCTTCTTACAGAAGACGTTACAGGTCTGTGAGAGCCAGAGATTTTCCTTGTTTGAGGTGACCAAATACTTATTTTCCACCCTGATTTACGAATAAATTCTTTACAAATCCTACCATGTGAATTCATGGATTTTTTTTTCACATTCTGTCTCTCACAGTTGAAGTGTACCTCTGGTGCAAATTACTGACCGCTGTCATCATTTTAAGTGGGGGAACTTGCACAATCGGTGGCTGACTAAATACTTTTTTGCCCCACTGTACACATGGGTTACTGCTAGAAAGTTTCTCTCTGTCTGACACATTTTATTGTTTTCCAAGATCTATGACAAAAATCATTCTAAAGAAAGAAAGAGTTTTTACTCAGCATCGAATTCTCTTATATTTCAAAATAAAGTAAAATTTAAAAATAAAGTCAGATGATTTCTTATTGTGTTGCCAATCAAAATGCAAACCTGATCAGAGGGGGCACCTCTGAAACTGCGTCAATGTTACATGTTTCAAAATGAGCCAGGCTGCTTTTAGTGAGAAATTCTGACGAGTTTTGCAGAGTTTAAAGAATTTCTGTAATAGTTTTTTTTTTTCATTTTGTCACTTTTGAGCCACACTTGTTTATTCAGCTTTAAGTGCTTCTGTGCAAACTTTAAAACTTAGATGAAAATCATCAATAATGTGTAGTCATTTAAAGGTAACAGCCAAGATACATATTCCATATTGCACGTCTTCACCTTTTGCAGTTCTACAAACACACCCAACCTATTGTCTGATGGATGGAGTACCATAATGCATAATAACCCACACACAGAGTTCACAAAGAGCATAAACGCATAGAATTCATGGAAAAAAAAAGTGCGGTAGAAGAAACTCTTTAATTTTGTTGTCACATTTTTTGCCCATTTCAACAAAAGTGACAGATGTTCACCCTCTATCACCGTGTGTACTTCCTGTAAGAACATGGTGAGGTTTTACAGGCACTGTTTTTATTTTAATGCATTCTACCTAGGACAAAGCTTGTTCAGCTTTCAGTCACAGAAAACAAATTTAATCACGCCACAAATAAATTGCCAGAGTAATTACTCGCGAGTATGAAGTGATGTGTGCTTCACCAATTAAATTAGTAAACTCAGCAACAGCCACAGAAAATAATAAATGAAGACTCCAGAGGAAAAAAAAACATATCAGCATATTAAAATCATTTATTGTGCTCCAGAAGAGTAATTACTATTTAACCAGAAAGAAAGACAAGTGACAAATAATCTACAATACAAATGCCAGACCTGCTCACATAGTTCCTCCGGTTCACATGACTTTCAAAGAACAAATCCACCTTTAGCTTTCAGACTGCTTGCACAAACCTCTCAGGATGAATCTGAGGTTTAATTGTTGTTTCTGCTGCGCTTTGAGGTCAGAAAATGGCACGTTGCGTTACATTCATTCGCAGTGCTCGTTCCTCTCTGCCCTTGCACTACAGCACAGGCTCACTGTCGACCACGATCTGCGTAGCTTTACACAAGAACAAAAAAAAAATGAAGCTTCCCCCTAGAACAGGGTTTCACAAGTGTTTGCAGTCCCAAACTGTTTGGATGTATACTCACCCTTCTTGACTGGCTTAATAAAATCTAGTGGTGCTGGGAGTCAAAAGAAATGACCGAAGAAATGCTACCTGGATTGGGTGAAACTTCCCCTTTTGCAAATGGCAGACTAACACCGTCTCACGGTAGCTTGAAAAATAGATGTAAATAATACCTATATGTTACGTATGTAAACATCAAGACAGCTTCCACTTTAATGTACTAAAGTCCACTCAAGAAAGTAGGAGGATAGTGGCATAACTACAAGAACTTAATCAAAGAGACATTTTTACCATTCTTTTGTTTTATTCTTCTTATACGCTATCGTTTTACTAAAAGTAATTTTCTGGTAGATAAGTCGCATCTGATGGGAGTGTTGCTTCTCTGTCACGATTAAAGCAAAAGTCATCCTGTACAGAAGCGCACAGATCACATTTTTGGGACTATTTCACAAGCTGCCATGAGACTGGGCTAATTGGACACAATTTTTTAAAGGAGGGTGACACCAGATGGGAGTCATTCTCAACTATGGGGCATTCTCAGACTAATATCTCACATCTGCCATTTGAATGTCAACACTCTTACAAATGAGTGCTGCTACAAGCACAAAGCCAATAAATCCAAATTCAAGTCTTATTCAGGACAAGCAAGACATCATATGACACAAAATAAACAGAATATTTAAATATTCAACACAGAAACACAAAATAGGCACAATATAGAATTAAACACTAATGGAAATAATGTTTACAAGGCTGACAAAGGAGCATACCAGCATATGCATTCAAAAGGGGGTGACGGATTTTTGCAGGTCATGTTTAAGATTTTACAACTGTGTGTGCTGTGTGTTTTAGCTGTTGTTGTTTTGAAGATGTGTGTATTTTAGCAAACACACATGTAAAGACCCTCCTGCCCACGCATGCTGCACGTAATCAGTGTGCTCAACCTGCCCGCGACGGCTTTGGAAAATAGCAGACTTTTAATAATCTCCTTAAAAATAAGAGAAATTCAGTTATGAACCAGGTTGAAATAGAAAAAGATGGGCAAAAGGTGTATGTTTATGATGTTATGGTACACAGCACTCAAACAAAAGGTATACCCTTTTCCTCATAACTCTGTAATGTTCCACGTAAAACTACCACAGTGTATAAACAGTATAATAACTGCAATTAAATTTGAACTTCCTTCGTATTTAATTTGCTCATTTCACTATCCAATAAAGTTTTATTGTTATTAGTTCTCAGTTTTAAGGCTTAATGTTTCCTCTATCATAGGGCAGGCGTGTGACTTGCCCTAACTTTAAAAAGATGTGTTAAGAGAATATATGTTTATGACATTTCCCACTCTTTAACGTAATCAAAATGCTTCTCATTGAAAAGAGTGTCATATATGTGTAGCAAAGTCTCAGTGGCACTCTGGGATTGGATATGTAACGTTTAAAAAATGAGTGTCAATTACTCCAGTTTCCTAAAATCAGAAAGGAAGGATTTTTTTCTTTTTCCTTTTTTCCTTCTTAGCAGTGAATCAAAACTTCAAAGAATTAGATGAAAAGAGAAGGGCAACTTGGTTTCTGTAGCGGCCCCTGTTCTGTTGATTGGGAAAATTTATCACCTTGTTTCAGTCATACGTTTCATAATTATATACGTTTCTTAGCCCTAGTCTATTAAAAGCTAGCCCTTTCTTAAAAACACATGTAGTTGTACTTTAGTTGTGAGCTGAGATTTTTCCAACATGAAGAACACAACTCTGAGGTACCCTGTGGAACCTATGACCACTAGAGGTGCTGTTAAGCATCTTTTAAATGATAAAGTCTCAGCACTGCTAGTACCTACCATCATATGTACACAACCGTTTACATTCGTGTCAAGAGCAGGGAGACATGACCTACATTTGTGGCGGCTGCAGGGGTTGGCAATGCTTACTGACAGCTGGACAGGGTAACGCCTGATAAAACTTTACTATCGATACAAGAGAATAACAGCAGGATGGAAAATGCAACATTCACAAAAGTTATTATTTGCAAATGATCTATGAGGTAGGAAATGCATTTGAGATATTCCTTATACCATAAAAAATGTATTTTAATGGAAACACTAAGAAAGGAATATTGACATTTTCACAGAGCATATTCAACACACAGCTTAAAAGGTGACACGGCTTTAGATGTGGACCATTTCTTACCCAAAGATTGCGAATTTTAATAGAGAAAATGTCACCAGGCAAAACAAGTTAGTTTGCTTTGAAATGCATCAGTCTTCCAGTAAGGTTGCCTTGGTGAAAATTACTGAATTTTGGTGCTGTTAAGACAATAAAAGAACAAATCTAGAAATACACATTTTGGGTATGTTAAGTGGAGTCGTGCGATATGATTTTGATAGGGTTTTATGCCATCAGTCAAATACCATTTTGTCTTAACTTTGCTTCAGTCTCAGTAAAGGTGCGAAGTTGCAATTTTCTCACAAATTATGCCAATTAGCTTTCAATTTGCTTTGATAACCATGTTTTTCCATACACAACTGTCAAAACTGTTAAATGCATTTAATGCATTTGCTTACTTATATATTTCCTGATTGAGTCATTGCGTTTTGCATTTTCCTGCAAAAAGTTTTGCTGTCTTCCTGTCTAGTTTTACATCCTCAAGCAATCTAGCACAACTGCTTTTTCCTTATGAGAAAATTTGGACTATATTTGCATGTAGTCACTGCAGAGGCTAAATCTTGTTAGCAACTGCCACTATAAATTAAGTTCAGTGCAGTTTCTAGCAATTTCCATTTATAATCCCAAATATGTCAGGTGCTGACCAACATTTCTCTCATTTCTTTTCACGCTACAGTTGGTTTACATTTTTCAACTATCATCAATCAGACAATTGGATGCATGGCAAGTTATTAATTAGGATTCATCCCTGGCTGTCACCCACTTAGCATGGCCTTGCAATTGCTTGACTATTTACCCATCAGTGCAATTATATGTTTAATTCAGTGGGTGGCCCTGCTTTTGCCCCTTTGTCATTTCTCTGGAGAGCAATGTTTGAATTTGGCAAGTGCTAGCTATATACGATCTCAACCCCTGTGATATTTTCATGTAGAGTTGTAATTGCTCGTTCTCAGTGCCTTTCATCCTACTGCTAATGCTGCAGTTTTGCAAACTTCAAAAGGGAAATGTTTTTTGGGATGCTTTGTAAAGCAATATGACTAAAATGCAGAATGATTTGTCATATTACGTGGATTTATGTAAAATGCAATCCTAAAATGTGATGGAAAGTCATGTAAGCTGTGGTTCCACCAGACAAAAGACAAAACTACATAGTGCTTTTTGTCTTTTGAGATGGCTGTTTTGGAACGGGTTGACCACTGGATACTTCTTGTGAGTTAGCTAAGAGATTTTAAAGATTGAACACTGGATCCCAATTAATCATAGGATATGATCTTCCACAGCATGTGCGGAAGATTGATCATAGAAAGTGACATTTTTTTGTTGCAACTGCATGTTTGGGTGCACTGTATACTTACATACATGCAGTAGGCATGCAGAGGGTCATGTCTAGTCAACGGGGATTGTAAATTCAATGGTTTAAGTGTCATATTAAAGTATCAAATGTTCACTGTAACAAAAAAAAAATCAAAACAACACAAACAAAAAATTAACAGATGAAAATCTTATTTTGTTTTTGCCATGTTTGTAGCCAAAAAAGTGAACAAGTGTAGTGCTCCACTGGATTTACATCATGAAACACATTGTTTTGGTATTCAAATGCGAGAAAACAGTAATAAACCAATATAAACAAAGAAAAACAGATTTTGTTTGTCTTGCTTGGACTCACGTTGTGCAATCTGACCTACCCCATGTGACTCTTTGCACATTTTAAATTAGTAACCTACATAATAGGAATTACTTTGTTGCTGATGCCCATATTCAGGCACAAATGTTCCTAAATCCCTGCACAGCCAACGTCATCATTTAATTTTCTTTCAAGAGTCCTTTCCACATCTAGTGAAGTGCATTTGAGCAATTGGGTTACAAAAACAAGGTCATGTTGCTTTTTATATGGGTCTAATAAATCTTGAGTTCAAGTAGAGGGTTTTCCTATATAAAACATTTTGTGTGGGGAAACAAAATACTTGGAAAGCCCAGGTGTAATTTCTTATCACATGGTTGTGTATGAGATTGTTTATACATATTATCGGTATTAAAGTATGAAAGCTTTTGATTTGTCGATACAGTGCCAACAAAACTACAGAGCAGATTTTCCCCAGATTCTGAAATTCCCACGAGGATGATGTGTGATAATAACCTTGGAATCTTTCTTTTGTTTCAATCCCAGCTCAAGCACTGGCTGTTCATTTAATCCAGAGAAACAATCTGGAGCCAACAGATAAAATTAGTTTATTCAATTTAAATCGTATTCCAAAAAGCAACATTTCCTGTGAGAGACAAGATTTTATCCCCTCATCCAGCTTGTCTGCCACAATGTTACATGGGGTAACAGTAGTCTGCACTCATTATTTTGAATGACTGCACAGTGCCTGTAAGGAAGCCAAAAGGGGCAGGATGAATTCTCACAACAGAGGCCTCTACACATCTACATTTTAGCGAAGGGAAAACAGGGAGAAAAGCGTTTCAGCTTACCAAGTAGCATCTCTGCGCCAGCTTTCAGATTTCTATATCTGTGCACAATAGAGTTGCCATCTAGGATATTCATGTCTCTGTCTGCTTTGAAGATCACCACTTTACCCCCACAGTGACTCCAACCTTTTAAGCAACTGGATTCGACTGCACTGTGACTCATTTCTACACCGATGGATAACATCGTTAGCTGCTGAGGCTTCACTGACCTGAAGATGTTAGCAAAGGCAGACAGCATTGTAGTAGATGGTCAACTGAAGACAGTGCGGATGTGAGACGAGCCGCTTTGCTAAACAGCCCAGCTGTCAGCTCAGTATAAAAGATGAGACAGTAGAGAATCCCTGGTAGAAAACGAGTGGGGCTAAAAAAAGAAAAGAAGTAGCTCTTCAAAATGAGGTAAAGAGGAGTGACTGTGGGCTTCAGAGCTGCTATGAGAGGCCTTTTTACTTCCTTCACATAATTCAATAATTCCAACGCAATGTGTCTCCTAACACAACCAGCCTTGGCTAATGATCAAAACTAGATGAAATGCGCATAATGGGAATTGGCCTATCGTGACCCTAACTTTTCCTATCATCTTGCCCTTTGACTTGTGTTAGTCATGTGTAGGCATTCATGTTTAAAGAGCTCTCCAGTGCCCAATTGGATGAATAAAAAATCTACACGGTCCAGAAATTCACTCTCCCACCATTTTTTTCCCCCAGTAGTTTCACCCTCCACCACAGTCAACACACCTCCTAGTTAAAAGTAAAGAAAACCGGGCAATGGAATAAACAGTGCAGGTAATTACTTCTATACGGTATAGTGGTAAAGTAGGTAGAATACCAAAGAACATTGATCTCAACTGAAGGTACAATGAGTTTGATTGATACAGTGTAATGTGATTTAACCACTATCAAAAAGTAGTACCAACACACGGAGTACAAAACTAGTCCTTATATGCCCAGCTCCACTCAAGCTATATCATGTTATGCAAGAAAATTTGAACCATATTTCCAGCCCCTCCCCTTTCTACCCCCGACTCCAGCCCACATCATCCATAACCTGGAATTGTATTTCCCATGGTCCTGCAAGGGTGTGTGTTTTCTTGTAATCCAATCAAGAAATATGTCTGAAATTTCTCCAATGCAAGGGAGAGGGTGAAAATGATTCTTAATAATGACATAATCAGCAGAGCAGCCATCAAGCAGATAAATTGTCATGCGCATCGTGCTAAAATATCCAATTATCCTTTGTCCCCCAGCTCTCTGTGTTGAAGTTGGAAATGCCAGAAAGCCAGTAGGTGGATCCCCACTTCCTACTGGTTCAGTTCTACTGGCAGGTTTGCAGTATGGATGCCCCTCTGAAAAGAGGAGAGCTTAAACAGCCTCGGTGCTTAGTGTACAGATCTAGATATGTAAATAGGTTCTATACAATAAAATTGTTCCCAATCCTCAAAAATAAATGGATGAAAAGTATTTGCAAGATTTTTTTCTCCTCAAAATGGTTCTGTTGTGCATACAGGATTTCTTTTTCTTGAAGTTTTCAGTCTTTCCTTTGCTCTTTTCAACAATTGTTTTTTTTTCTTTTTTACCTTATCTTACATAGCCTCCATTTATGATGTCAAGACATGCCTAAATTGGTTTGCATGGCATCTACATTGTGCCCCACAGAGTAATCTCTAGCGTGATGCCGAAGGAAAACAACGCGCTTTCTTTCTTTTACAAAGAGCTCCCTTCTTCTCACCTCCAAGGTGTGTCTGATGCTCTCTTCTGTATCCAGATAATACTCTCAAGCAGTCATTTGTCAAAAGATCCCGAAGGCCATATCTGTTGCTAGAAAGAGAAAGTATTTTTACTGTACCTTGTTTTGCTGCAATATCAGAACAAAAATAATAACAATAAAAAAACATCCTCCTCTTTGTTTTAGCTTTAGAGGTTGTTTATCTTCAGCTCTTTATATGTATTTTTTTCTTGTCTTAAATTTTTGTACAAAAAGATAATTATTCTTTTTTCCCTGGTCCAAACCCTCAGAAACTCTTGACTATATTTCCTCAGGTATTAACAGGGTGTCGTACAGTCCCAGTGTAATTCCATGGGTTTCTGGCAACTCCAGGATGGCATTTCATCTCATGACATACTTGTGTTTGTCAGAAAGTTGGCCTTCAGTCTCTGCTGCGTCAGCGGCATTAGCTTTAGCCTCAGCCATCAGAGTCCCGCCTGCATGGGTGCATCCACAGGGCTATACTCGGGTGGTGGAGTGTGAGTGTGGGTGCGGGTGGGGCAGGGTGTTGTTCTGGCCACTGCTGGGGAAGGTATTGAAAGAGTGGAGTGAGGTGAGCCCTCCCATGGTGCTGGGGATCATGGTTATGGTGTTTGGTGTCATGAGCGGGATGTCATCTGGTGAGCGCCTCATGGCCAGAGTATAGTCCGGTGGGCAGGCAGTCCTCAGAACCACATCATGCGGGTGCAGGGAGTCGCCAACCCCCCTGCAATCTCGGTCCAGGTCTGAGTGCTGCTTCATCTGTAGAGACATGATTTCCTCCTCTTGAGTGTGGGCAAGGTCATTTGCGGCACTCCGCTGGGGGCTGCAGCGTCTATGAACATCGTGCCGGCGCTTGTCCTTTTTGTAGTAAAGTGCAGCAAAAGCCAGGATATTAAGGAAAAGCAGGGATGCTCCCACAGCAATGGTTACAGATAGTTCAGTGGAGTAGTCACGCTGGTCCACAAGATGTGGTTGGTTGTGACTGTCCTGTGTCTCAGTGGGGAATGGGGTTGGGTTAGGACGTTTGGTCACCAGAACGTTGGTCTTCGGTATTCGATTAGTAGTCTCTGGTGGAGGAATCTGAAGACAAGAAAACCAGTGGTTAATAACTAATTCATCTGATCATGTTCAACTGTATAGTCTAGCTTGTGGTACCACAAAGTTTAAACTACATATTGGATACCCCATGATAGGCTTTCAATGTTATTAGAGCAAAAAAGCATGATTTCATTTGCAATAAATAAATACTCCTGCCTTCTCTTTGGTTTTATTGCATTGTCTACCTAGTCCTGCTGAGGTTAGTGCATGTTCTTGCTTTGTTTCACATGTGTCCCCCAAGTTTTTTTCATTACTTCTTGTGTTTACATTATATTCCAGCTGGACTTTTGGATTCTACATTTATTTATCTGCTATTAAAGCTCAACTCTTGTTTGTTTATTTGTGTCTCCTGTGGCTTGAATTTCACATCATTCAAAACTTTGCAGTGCACACCAAACTGACATTTCACTCATTTAGCTTCTAAGAGTCACATGACTTTAACAGCATATTTTGAAAGAAAAGTTAAACATTACTTGTTTGACATTTTATAATCCTTTAAGAAAACCCAACTTCATAGCCTTGCAGATTTCCTTCTAGCGGGAAGGTCAAATACAATTTCATTAGATCAATAGTAAATATGCACCTACTTCGATTTGGGGCCTTATTTTTTCAAATTCAGGAGTCAAAATATTTTTCTTCATCATTACATAGTGCTTGTAAGAATGATTGCACAGTGTCTTTAAAGACATCAGATCACTTCTGAGTAGGATGTCAAAAAAAACAAAGCCAATTATTTTCAGTTTTAGTGGCCTAAAACTAGCAATTTCTGACAACATTTCTTTATTTTTCACCAGTGAGATTGGCTACTGTCGATTTAAAGCTGAAAGTCAAAGTTTACTTCAACTGTTTGTTTGATTTAAAACATAATGTAGAGAGGCAACATTACAGAAACAGTGCCCTTATTCAAATACTCATGGGCCTAACATACGTAAATAAAATGGAGACCAGGAAAGGGATGGAGAGCAAAGGAGGAAAAGGAAGACAATATCAGGAAGGAGCAACTTCAGTTTCTTTCAGCTCCAAGTGTTAATGTAATGTTGATAATCTCTTTGCTGCAGCTTAATGCTTAAGTTGCATAGTGACACAAATTTTTGTTCTAACTCATGGCAAAGTGAGATTGTCTACATCCTGAAATTACTTTAAACATATGGCCACTGCCTGACTTGATAATAATAGTGGATTGCATTTATATAGTGCTTTTCGGGACCCTCAAAGCACTGTACAATTCCACTATTCAGTCACTCTCACATTCACACACTGGTGGAGGCAGCTACAGTTGTAGCCACAGCTGCCCTGGGGCAGACTGACAGAAGCGAGGCTGCCATATCACGCCATCGGCCCCTCTGGCCATCACCAGTAGGTGAAGTGTCTTGCCCAAGGACACAACGATCGAGACTGTCCGAGCCGAGGCTTGAACCGGCAACCCTCTGATTATAAGACGAAATGCCAACTCTTGAGCCACGATCGCACCTTGATAAAGTTACTTATCAAAATGTGACATAAATAAGTTTTTTAAAAATGAAATTAAAAATATTACACACATTCACATCCTCAAACATTCAGAATCAGCCCCTTGTACATCAAGTATCTACTCATAATTTGTATCAAACTGAAGTCAGACTGGATGTTTATGTATAATTCTTCTCTGTCACACCTGATAGCTGCATTTACTGAACACTTTTGGCATTGCCTTTAAATTCATTCCTCAATATACTTCAACTGCTGCTCTGTGTTTATATGTGCTCGTCTATCACGTCTATATATATAATCACCTAAGTAGGAGATCACAAGAGCCCCTTGAGCGGAAAATTAGGCAAACTAGGTCAACAACCAATCTCAATGTTACATTTAAAACTTTTCAAAAAGCCTTCTGTGGAGGGAATGGCTCACATAGACACTTTTTGCCATGATATCACACATCGACTATTTAAAACCAACCTTGGTGGTGGTTGGGATGAGCTGGGTGACCTCATTGAGACTGTGTAGATGAGGAACCAGCTCCAACCACAAGTTGACCTGAGAAAAGGACAGAAATGCGTAGGTGGTAAAATCAAGCAAGTATGAAAACTATCTTCAGAAGAGCATCTTAAAGTATGGAATTACAATAGGATGAAAATGAAACAATATTGCAGTTCAATTTTAAGCATTCAGAAAATGTCCCTGCTTGTGAAAAACAAACCCAAGACTAGGGCACAAGTGATGCATAAAGAGGAAACACGCAGGAATTTCATCTTTATAGAGACCAAAAATTTAAAATTATGCAAGAAACAATTAATTGGAATACATTTTTATAAATCCAGATTGTATACACTGGATTTATCCGTTTTTTTAAAAAGTTAGAGCAATGTGTAAGATGTTAATAGAAACAGAATTAATTAGAGTTTAATTTAAATATATAATAAACAGAAAAATAGACCAAATATATCATAATATATGAGAAAGTCAACTTTTTTTAAGTTTGAAGTTAACGTTAAATTAATGGAACTTTGTGTGTATATTTTGTATACACACCACACTTGTAAGAATAATATGTATAGTGCTTTTGTCGATTTTCAATCAATCGTTAAGTTGACCTTGAAGAACTTGCCAAATTTTAATGCATTTTTAACAGTCTACAAATTCATATCAGAATTATTTCAAGCTATCATCTTTACAGATAGATTGACATGCACACATCCAAATGCTATCAAAATATAACCTGTGAAGACATAGAAAACATCACATTAAAAAAAAGCAAAAAAAGTTTATAAAAATGTGTTTTTATATGGGATTTGAAAAAAGCCACAGATTTTATGAGCGGTTTCTCCTCAGGTAGATTATTCCAAAGATGATGGTCAACATGAGATTGAAATCTTGATTTTGGAATCACCAGCATGGCAGCTCTTGAGGCTCTAAGGCAGTAAGACAGCTCATATGGGGTCAACAAATCTGCTATTTAGCTTGGAGCCAAACCATCACATGGTTTAAAAGTGATCAGTAACATCTTAAAATCAATTCTAAATCTACAGGGAGCCAGTGTACTGAAGTTTCTATTGGAGTTCTCTTAAAAACAGTAAAAAGCTTATCTGCTGCATGACAGAGTTACATCTAACTATACCTTATTGGCACGGTAATGCTCTTTGACCCGGGGCTTCAGGCCAATGTGGAGGTAAAGCTGGTCTTTCTGGTTGTAGCGTGTCCATGCCACTTCTTCAAAACGATTGGGCTTAGTGTGGATGAACTTGGTGTCCTGGGGTACAGGCTGGTTTGGGTCCCTTTGAAGAAAGAGTAGGAATGAGTTTCCGTTAAAGAGGTCACAGAGGAGAGACGAGCTGAGAGTCTTACAGTGGGAAAAAAAAAATGTTGTTGGCTGTTTACCTTAGAGGGCAGGAAGATCTAAAACCAGGCTAAAGGGGAACTGGACCTCTTAAGACACAGCTGTTTGGCTATTCAAATTTTAATTTTGACATAAGTGTAGCATTTGCCTCAGGTTAATCAGTATAATTATGAAAATACTGAAAGGCAGTGGTGAAATGCAGCCTCCAGGTTTCATCAAATTTTAATCAGCGCTTTCTAAGATATCACACCTGATAAGATCCAGAAAAGGTCAGAAGGGAAATTATTGCTCATAGATGTAGGGCTTTCTAAAGATTTTGACTGAATGGAAAGGTCTTAAGATACCTAATTTAAATTTTGAGACATAAAAAAAAAATCCCTGTCACAGTTTTTTGTTTATTTTTTTAAATTATGGATATCTCCTTGGAAGTGAATGCATTTATATATAATTCAAACATGAAAAGAAGCTTCCTGCCAAAGAATATGTTTAGTTGAATATGCAGTTCAACCATGCTGATAATTTCCAACAAGTACATGGTTCAATGGTTGCTATAAACCACACTTAGAATAGCTACTTTTTTAAATGTCACGTGCCATCAATTTTAAATGTTTGACTCAATAACTCAAGGCTTAAATAAACTGTAAATGCAGGTCAGTAACCCATGTGAATGCCCCTCATATATTCAGTACAGAGGAGGACAACGCACTGAGTTTGGATCCTGCACTAAATAGAGCCACTCGCACTTAATCTGAGGAGAACAGATCCAGCCATGTGAACTATGGAGGCCCATTCAGACCCAGTGAGCGCCCCATTGTCTGAGAGCAGCATATGGAGCCAGCCAAACCTCATCAGGAACACTCTTAACCATTCAAATTGGTGGCATAAATCTCTCAGGTACCCAGCATTCTACGTCAATTTGGGGTTATATATGTAGATCATTAGTGCTCTTTTTGTTCCCCTCCGGGCTACTGGGCAGTGCACAGGAAAAGCCAATGTCCCCCTATTATGCTGCAGAAAAACAATTACCGCCATGACTATATAGTGGAGGGCAACATGAGACAGAGGGAGAAAAAAAGGATTTTAATTTTGTCGCTTTCAGAATGTCACTCTCCAGGCTAGGATCATCAATTAATAATGTATTTGAAGATATGTAGTGGGTATTTTCAAAGAATACCAATTATACAACACAGTCCATAAAATCCATAGTATGATTCACTACTCCTCGTCATACTGAAGAAACAAAATTACAGTGAAATTATAACTTCACTGTGAAATGATCACAATGTTCTAATGGTGATTATATGTTTTATTAACATATAATTAACACTACATGAGCTCATAAACTAATTGATTATTTCATGTAAACCAGCTCACTTGGTAAACAATCATGTACCCTTTTTTGGAAATGAATAGAATGTATTTTGGCAAAATCACAACCAATTATGTCAAACAATATAATTATTTCATTTCCATATAACTAATAATCACATCAAATTATTTATCATTTACAGCGAAGTGAAATTATTAACTTTCCAGAGGTGCTGGTTAGATCAAGTACAAATATTAAGTATGAGCTATAAGTTATTACAGATGTGGCACTTAACATTTTCATAACTGAAAAAGCTGTGATGGTTTTGTTCAGATTCATGAGATTCATAACACTGCATTGGCCCTTATGAGTCATCATACCCTGTCTTGGCAAAGTTTGTCCAGTAGGTCATAACCACAGCACTGAGCATAACGTCGTTCTTGGAGAAATTGCAGGGAAACAGCTCTGTTGGTCCAATCATAGGCAGGCCAAACACATATGGGATCTCGTCTCCATGTGCTGCATCTGCCCAGGGTGGTACCTAATGAGCAGCAGATGAATCAAATCACGTCAGTATTATTACATTTATGTGACAGATACAGGACATTAAAAGACTTTATTTTTGCACGGTGGATATTCTGACAATATGCATAGACACAGCAAGACTAAAAAGGCTGGAGAAATAGAATAGTTGTTGAGGAAAAAAGGGGGAATGAGATAAGTTGTTAATATTAATTTACCTGCCATTTTTGGCTCATTATTCAGTGAATTGAACAGAGAGAGAGAGAGAAGACAAAAGATAAAAGAATGATGCTGACAGAGGAAAATTGCTTTGAGATGAGTTTAAACTGGAATACAGAGTACATATACATGGTAGCTGTACCAAGTTGAAGTTAATATAATAAGGGAATGTGGGCAATTTAATGAGCACTCTTTATTTTCATTAGTTTGTCTAGACATATTTGAACATTAACATTAAATGTTGCATCAAATAATACAGGAAGAAGTAAGGATTTAAGATACCAGTAAAAAAAAATATCAAAAAACCAGCCAACCAGTTTCAATTCAATTCAATTCAATTTTATTTATATAGCGCCAAATCACACCAAACGTCGCCTCAAGGCGCTTCAAAGATACAGAGAAAAACCCAACAATCATATGACCCCCTATGAGCAAGTGCTTTGGCGACAGTGGGAAGGAAAAACTCCCTTTTAACAGGAAGAAACCTCTGGCAGAACCAGGCAACCAGCAAACAAATATGTATGTATACATATGTATATGTCAACTGTTCAGTTCAGAGGAGACTGTGAGAATCAGGCCTTTATGGTCAAATAGCTGCTAAGAAACCGCTATTAAGGAAAAGCAACAAGCAGCAGAGATTTGTTTGGGCAAAGAAACAGGAATGGACATCTGTGCTTTGGTCTGATGAGTCCAAATGTGAGATCGTTGGTTCCACTAACAATGTCTTTGTGAGACACAAAAAAGGTGAACGCATGGTCTCCACATGCATGGTTCCCACTGTAGGAGGCTTGGAGGAATCTTGCTGGTGACCCTGTTGGAGATTTATTCGAAATTGAAGGCACACTGAACCAGAATGGCCTGGCCAGATGGACTGGCCTCCACAGTTACCTGACCTAAACCCAATCAAGATGGACCTCAGAGTGAAGGCAAAAGGGCCAACAAGTGCTCTGCATCTATTGTAACCTGTGGAAAACTATTGGAAAAACATTTCAGGTGACTACCTCATGAAGCTCATCAAGAGAAAGCCAAGAGTGTGAAAGGCAGTAATCAAAGTAAAGTGGCTATTTGGAAGAATCTAAAATATAAAACATGGTTTGACACTACTGCTTAGCCAACTACACATCACTGATTACTTATGGAGAAAGACTCATAAGTAAAGCAGCAGTTATCATACACATGTTGTTACATATGTGAACAATGTGTAGGCTTATCTATCAAACTATCAGTTCAAATCAATTACTTTAGTTTCATTTGGGAGCATTTTGTTTTGCCTTTAGCAATAAGAAATAAGTGATTTTATTTGATTGTACATTATTCTTGAATTCGTTCTGTTTACATGTGTTGATAAATGGCTTCTGCTCAGTGATACAACTCAAATCAAGACAGGGTGTTCATTCCTAGATTCCAGGTACCATAATACTTGAAAGTACCTTCAGAGCTGATGAGGCATGTGATAGTTTGAAGCTCACCTGTTCCGTCTGACAGTGGTGGTAGAAAGCATAGAAGTAGGTTGGAGATCCAAAACTGGAGTGCAGGTCAGCTGTGGCAACTGCTGGTGCTACCCACTGGTGATCGGTGAAAAGTGCTAGGAGTGTCTTCCGGCGTGTCTCTGGATTATGCCTATCAGCCCAGTCAGTGTACATAAACTTGATGGTCTCTCGGAGGATGTCTTTTCCTTCTGGGTAGCCATAAAGGTCATCCACAAAGCTGGACACGGCGTAGTCGAAGTCATTAGCTTGGACGCCATTCTCATTGTCCACGATAAGCTCGACAAACTTAAGGCCCTCGCCCTGGTTCACTCCCAGCATTATATCATAGTTGAGGAACTCACCTAGCAAGAGACAGTACAGAGTTTGGTTAACTTACAAATTGTAATTACAAAGCATCCTTTTAGGTGGAAAATAAATTGAATACCTTGTTCCATTAAAATCTGAGGGTCATCAGGTATAACATCGCCATCAATAACAGGGCCGAAGGCAATGTGATAACGGGCCGGCTGGATGTCTTGATCCACAAGCTCCTTGTAATGTTTTCTCTGCAGGCACAACACAAGCTCCACAGTGTCCTCCAGGTTGCAGCCTACCTTCCGAGCCAGCATTCGAGCATATTTGGCAGGCTGAAAACTGACAGCCCAGCTAGACAGAGCTGTGCCGCTCTGAGCGATGGCCCTCTGGAACAGGCCTTAAGACAAAAACAGCACAGGGGCAGCATTGATGGAGAAAACAATTAATTAGGTGCAATTCAGAGACTATCCCAAAATATGTCAAAATAAGTATAGATGCATAAAATGTCATTTTGAAAATCATATAAAGAAAAATATCATATGATAAATCAGCTGATTGAGAAAATGGAACAGAAACTCAGCGATCATAGGTCATATTAGAGGCAAACTGAATACACTGAAAAATAGTTTTGCTTATTAGAACAGACAAAGCAATATTTCTTTTGGCAAAAAAGAAAAAAATAACTCAGACATCCTGATTTTCATCATGAACATAGTACAATGCAGGTTTGTTGAGTCAGTCCCATATTAATGCCCTGCAGGTTGAGGGTAACATTAATGATGTAAAAACTGGCAAATTCTTTGGTTTGTTAGTTTTCAGTAGTGACAAGAAACAAATCTGAACATTTACTAATGATCCTGTGATTGTTAGTCTTCTTGAATGCAAGAAAAATCTTCATGGCTTAGTGTGATGGGGGATGTCATGTTTTCCCTTTCCCTTTTCTTTGATTTCCATCCAAATGTGTGAAACACTTATGATCACTGTTTTTAGATAATTATCACCAAACTGACTGTAATAAAAAGGTGTTGACAGAGTGAGATATTGGGGTCCTTCAGATATTTATAAATGTTGTTAACAAAGCTGATTTTGAATCCCCTATTGATGCTAAGCTAAACAGCTCCATCATAGATAATGGTAGAAACCTATAAGAGTTCATGGAGATTGTCTGAATCATCCAATCTATCATGTCAAACATGAGTGGTGTGACTGAAATAAGATTTCTGTTTCTTTATAAAGCATGACAAATCCACAGAAGGCATTGGTCTGTAACATAACTTGAATGTTCCTAAATTCACTATTTCCTTCTTCTTGAGAAATGTTTGTTACAATTACAGTGGACAGCTAGCCTGGGAAATAGACAAATCTCAAAGCTCAGGTTTCATATACTCTGACAAAATGACTATCCTGCCACATAGTGTAGGATTCAAACAGAAATCCCAACTACAGCAATGTCAGGCTACTGGTCAACACTGTCCTTATCGTTCTTATTGCTTACATGACCTTAGGGAAAGAGGTGCTTCAAGTTCTTTCTTTCCATATATTTTGTTCCCCAGTAATGTCAATATCCTTTACATATCTTATCACCTAATTTTGTTTATGGTTAGAGGCACATTTTTTTTTTTTTTGCTGCAGATATACATGGTTGTAACACATTATTACTACCAAGTCTCTTCGTTTTGAAAAAATGGTCTCTGTATGAATAAAGAGCAACATCCCATTAAATAAAATCATATATGAAACCTGTGTTTAGAATATATGTGATGTTTTTGTTCAAATTTTTTTTTTTATTTAACTGTTTGTAAAACAACTGCTTTTAATTGCTCAGAGCGGGCATTCTCAGAAAATTATGAAGCACAAAATCTTTTGTTTTCTATATAGTAGTACATTATCAATTGCTTTTTTTTCATGTCAAAGCTGAATATTGCAAGTACAGTGAAACGCAGAGAAAAAAACCTTCCATTCAGCATGTTCCGACGTTAACATACACGCATCCAAAATGACAACAAGCATCAGCAAAAGCAGATCACAACCTTTTTTATGGTCACACGCTACTGAAATGAGACTTAAGAATGTATGAAGACCCCACATGGATCCCTGTAACTTGAGTCCTTGGGCTTTACCTTTTGTTGAGTTGCTCCAGCGGTTTCCCTCTGAGTAGTGAGACAGCGTGAGCAGGTTCACACAGGAAGCTCCAGCTCCGGAGCCAAACACAGTGATTCGCAATGGATCGCCGCCAAAGGCTGCAATGTTCTCACTGGTCCAGCGCAAAGCCTGGATCTGATCCAACAAGCCATAATTCCCTTTTGCTGCTTGGTCACCGGTACTCAGGAAACCTGGATGAGAGGACAAATTAAAAATAGTAGATATTATTTTAATATCTTCTCCTTAATTTTCTTATTTGACCATAAGCAGATGGCTTCATTAACAAAGAAAAGACACCTAATGGCATCAGGACTTTTCTCTGTCTTAATCTACACATTTCATTTATGGAGTTTGGTTCCTTTTCAACAAACTTTAGAAATGAGAAATTGTATTTATTTATGTCTTTACATTAGTAGGTTTAATCTTACAGTTTATCATCACACATCAAGAAAAATAAAAAAAAAATCATTCAAAAACATTCTTTGTACTTTTTTATTTTGAAGATTTGTATTTTTTGTATTGCATTTTTTAAAATCTATTTTCTTTTTTAATTTCCTTGATAAAGCTATTAAGGTATATTTTGCCACTGTACACAGAAAACCAAAAGCCTCATTCTTTAATAATTTGCTGCAATATAGAGAGATATAGAGTTCCGAGTAATTCAAATGAAAACTTCATGGAAAATGATAATGTGTCACAAAGAGGCAGTGATATGTTTAATAACATAATACAAATTTCAAATCAAGGTCTTTGTGGATAAATCTATAATAATAACTGGTGTTTTCAAAGGTCAGTACAACACACTGCCCACATCCAGACTGCCTTTCAAGAGAAGACTTTATTCGAACTGCCTATAGACTGCTTCAACGCTTCCATGATCTTTTATTTCAAGTTGAATTGATTTGTTAAAAAAACACACTGAATACACAAGGTCATGGAGTAATTTAACTAACAACATTAAGGATATTAATTTTTGTTGTTGTTGTTTATGCATTTATTATCATTATGCTTTTTAACCACAATAACAATAGCCAATCTCAACAGTTTGAGGTCAGGTCAATAAGTGTTTGGCCAGATGTCTGTATCTGAAATGTAATATTTACCTTTGACACCAGACAACTGGGCTTGTCTTACAATTAGTTCTTCAGAGTTGGCTAGATCTTTACAAAGGATAGTTTGGGAAATAATTATGCTGTTTATTACACTTTTTCCACAAGTGTTTCTGTATTATATTTTCATGCTGCAGCAGTTACCTTTTCTAAGGTACTTTTTTCAGGCCTGTGCAAATAGTCATTCGTGAATCATAAAAACGAATCTGTTACTGTTTGTTAGCTAGTCGGAGCTATCACTTACTATTCAATTAATAGTCGGTGAATGGCACTGACTTATTCACTAAGTCAGTGCCATTCACCAAAATCACCTCCTTCTCCATCCGAGCTACAAGACACCATATACATCACTTTTATTTCTTTTACTGATCCAGTGAAACTATGGTGCTAACAGCCTTCAACTGAACATATGTTTAGCTATGCATCATGCTACAGGATGTTGCTGGTTCTTTGATGAGGTGAAGCTATAATGTTCTGTGTTTGTGTTTATAGCACTGTTAATAAAAAAAAAAAAACCAACTGAACAAATAAACAAAAAGAAAGTGAAACAAAATAAATGTCATGTTAAGATGTTTGCTTACGCTCATTCTCCTGTCCACTCATATCCCCTAAATTTAAATGCAATTGATGTCACTGCTATAAAAAAACTTTTGATGTGAATAAATAGTATAATGTGAACAGCCTGATGCTGCATGGCCCTAAATGTCACTGTTGCAAAGGATTGTGGGATGGCGTTATCTCCTTTCCTTTTGTAAGGTACGGACCAGTCTATGCAATGCTAAAAAAGATAAGAAAGGAATCTTTGAAGCAACTTTTCTTTGAATTTCAAGCAATCTGACGACCTCTTATCGCTTAGATTATTTGCCAAAATCCATGGCGAGTGAGGCTTCAACATCAAATACTAGTAAGGTACAAATGTACTGAAGAGACGAGGAGAGCCACAGGAGAGCTGAGGTCTTTTAGAGCAATTTCATGTCCAGCTCCCAACACTTCCACACTAAAAGCCCCATTAAGCCCTCCATGCATCCTGGGCACTGACACCCAACAACCACACCCAAGAACTGTCCCTTTCAACCTCACATGCTCACATATTTTCTTCCATGTGTTTTTGGATATTTTTATTTGTATCAGTGAAAATGAAATGCCTATTTCACAGTCTCAGTCAACACTACACTGGTAATTTACACTGGATGCATTATGTGTACACCCACAGAAAGCCTTTGAGGATAGCTAAAAGAATATATTTACCATCCTGCACTTCAGCCTGCATATCTGTTATTTGCATTAATTCAATTATTTGCTGTCATTTATTTTTTTGCTTGTTCCTGCTGTTTTCCAAAAGTTGTAAATAATTACTGAAATAAAAATAAAAATCGTTAAAATCACTTGGTGCAAAAAAAGAAAGGATGGCATCACTGGTTTGTAAATAATTACTATATGTGCTGAATGTCTTTAAAGTAAAACCCAGTATTATACATGGGGACATCAAAAAAGCAAATTAATATTAGTAATAATAAATTGTAATTTATTTATTTATTTATTATTATTATTATTATTATTATTATTATTAGTCATATTAGTGGTAGTAGTGGTAGTAGCAGCAGTGATTGTAGCAAGTTTATTAGTATTTCTACATCACTCTCACTACTACACACTAAAACTCTCTAGAACAACGGCGTTTACTTCTTCTGATACCTGAACAGTTTTTGGCATGGAATGTCCAGTGTTATATTCACAGCTCTGAGGTTTGAGGTTTGTCTGATTTTCTACTGTTGAGGGCTAATTAAAAACTCTATATGAGAATTCCTGCTATACAACATAATTCTAATAATGTGAGAGTAATAAATCCAGTTTTACAACAATAAATATGACCTCCATCATATCTGCCCAATCCAAGATAACACTTACTGAACCATAACATTCTAGCATCATGGAACTAATGTGTTTATTCTTCTTTGGCCTGTCACTTCGATATTTAAAGAGTTAAATCTATGACTTTATGCTGAACCCAGTTTACAAAAAAAATTCATTAGAACAGGATCACAAATCATATTCATTTTTATTGCATAACACAGTGATTTGAATTAATGTGGCTGTTAAGAGCTGTAATTATGCATGGCAGCACATGTGACTGTGGTCATAATAACCATAATGCATATTATGTTTACAATGGCTCACACAGATTCATCTACTGTCAAGTATAACCGCTGACATAGTCAGCTGATAATTTATTTTATAAAATTTATGATAGAGCCACTCTATGTTCACCTACACGCATGCACGCTCACTTGCTTGCAAGTTTGCCCATTTGCACATATGCACAATTTTTAGGGTTTTTTTTGTATTTCTGCAAGTATTTCTGAACAAGCACTCATTTGAATCGCGCACATGTGCCAAAATCCTATACAGTGCAGCTGCATCCACACATTCCTACTAACATCCAGACAAGCACACACCCCCGCTGACTGTTTAATTAAGTTCATTCCTTTTCTATTCCCCTTCCACTTGCTTATTTATTTATTTGTGTGTTTCTTGATCAAAGCCTAATCTGGTGGAAGCAACAGCAGCCATCTAAAAGAAAGATTTTAATTGATTCAATTTAGCTGTAGTGCAAGGATGGGCTGGCAATCACAAAGAGTGAGACAGGAAGAATGATTACTACGCCAACAGTGGTGGGGCAGTGGGGTGGGGCTCTATTCCCTTGCTGTCTTATATACAAACATGCACATAATGCGGTAATATATGAAAAAAAAGTGGTGCGTTGATGTTACAATAAACATGCTTTATTTCCTCTACAGATTGATGCCAAACATGTTTTATTTTCCTCCTCTATGCAGGAGTTCATACGTGTCTATGTCTCAGGTTTGGCTAAAAGCCACCATCCGTGATTTAGGAGCTCGGCCTTTAAGCTTCCTGGGATGACAATATTGAGGTGAACCCTGATCCAGGAATCCAGCTTTTATCCCTCCTATCTCTGTCGAACCAGAAAGAGAAGGCTAGACGAAGAGAAAGATGGGATTTTTTTATACTTCTTTCTCTGCACACATCTATTTTTCACAGTCACGGTCTGTATACTATAATCCTCTCTCTTTTCTCTCGTTTTTACTTTGTGTCCTTTTGACTCTGAATGGTGAGAAAGAGAATGAGAAGGAACAGTAGAGGAAGAAGGAAGAGGGAAAACACCATCACTCAAGCATGTAAACTCTTCCAGCAGATCTGGCTTATTACTGGTGGTGAAATCAAAAGAAAATGCAAAATTCAGAGACCAAAGGGAAATGTGAAGTTAAAGTGGAGGGAAAAAAAGAGTTTCGCAGCGTAGCAAGATTAACAAGCATGCAGAGAACGAGGCAGCGAGTCTAGAGTAGACAAAAGAATGACAAGAAAAATGAAACAAGGCGAAAAGACGCAGAAAGTGAGAGAAAGAAGCTTAATGACTAAGAAAAATGGCTGAATCTGTCATTGTTGTTGTGCTGTGTAGACCAACGTCTGAGGTGGCATTCTTGAACTGCTTAGAGATTCTTCTTCAAATTGTTAAATATGATTATCCCATGCCTTACTACAATGCAGGTTTATAAAAAAAACAATTCCCTTAATCTCACATCCTTTGAAATAACGCTCTTATCAGGTTAAAAAACAAAAAGAAATCTCAGTAGAATCAGCAGAATTGACAATAATGATTTCCGAGGCATGTTTCTTAATAGAGAATCTTACGGCGTCATTTTTGTTCTACTATTCTGAGCACACGTAAAAAAAAATTGAGCGCACGTAAAAAAAAATTGCAGGTGCAAGTGTTGCATTTTGAGGAGTAATTTATTTTGAGTGAAGAAAAGTTAAATTTGAGTCAACAAAATTCATTGCTGCGTGCAAAAAATGTATTTTAGTGTTTGCTATTAACCATACACACACACAGTTTTTGCATTTGCGCTTGCTCGCAATGTGTTGCTTGCACTCTCAACATTTATAAAGAGTGTTTATAATGTTGTTTATATATGTTAGAGTGCTTTTGTAAATATGTGATGTCTTGATAAATCGAGCAGATATTTGAAGTTTAAACTAGTGATGTGTGGATCGATACTGAAATATCGATTCCTCCGATACCAGTCACTTATGTTCTTGAATCGATTCTCATATTAAAATATCGATGTTTTAGTAATTTGTAGTTTATCATTAACAGGAACACAGTGGAAATAAACTATATCATTCAGATTGTCTACACTGGAAGGAACTACTTCCTCTTCCACCTTTCATAGTCATATGCGAAATATGGCTGTATAAATGTGTTGCAGCCCCTTGGCGTGCGCACTCACAATGGCTGAGTCATGTGTGGATGTATTTTACCTCCACAAACAGCGAGACGTGGTTTGTGATACATGTGGCAAGAAAGTGAGGTGTTGTGGCAACACCACTAACCTCGTCAAACACCTCAGAGTAAATCATATCACAGAATATGATGTCTCTCGCGGAGTCCTTTAGTGCTGCAGGCAGGCAGCGTGTTCAAATAGCGCACAACTTCAGTTTTTTTATTTCTATATGATGAATTCTGCATTATTAAGAGATAAGAACAAGTAGTCTGATTTCCTGTAATCATGATGACGCTATAATTTGAGATACAATAAAAGGTACAATAAATAAAATACGTTTTTGTACAAAGTATCGGTATCGGATCAGTATCGTCGATACCACCCTGAATTTTACTTGGTATCGGATCGGAAAGGAAATCAGTGGTATCGCACATCACTAGTTTCCACAGCACCATCCTCGCATAAAAGTTTATTTTGTGACCCAGAAAGAGTAATATTTCAAACTCCGCCACTCTGTTCCTCCGCCACTGCCTCGTTTGAGTTTTGGACGAAATGGATTCTGGGATATTGTATTTCATCATTTTGAGCTGATTGGAGACCAAAACAGCCAATCAGATTTTTTTGCATCCAAGTCTGTGATTGGCTGGTTTTGTGGCACAAATATAACGGTGCACAGAAAGAGTTGAACGCACACGGGCAGAAAGGTTGACAGCGCAAGCAACACATTTTGAGCGAGTGCAAATGCAAAAACTGAGCGAGAGGGGCTGGTATTGTGTGTGTGTGTATGGATAATAGCAAACACTGAAATACATTTTTTGCACACAGCAATGAATTTTGTTCACTCAAATTTAGCTTTTCTTCGCTCAAAATTTCTCCTCAAAATGGAACACTTGCACCTGCAATTTTTTTTTTACGTGCACTCAGAATAGTGGCACAAAAATAACGCCATAGAATCTCCACTGACGCAAAAAATCAACACAAATATACAATAACCCACATTTGGTCTTTTATGGTCCAGGTTTCCACAGTTGCTAACTGTTCTACTGAACTATAATTTTACCGTAGCTCAGGTCTGTGGGAATGTGCTTAAAACTACTGATATTGTTGCATTAGTGGGTCAGCATACATAGTTCCAAATTAGCGGAAGCAGCTCTAGTGCAATCAGATTTTTTTTAAATTCTTCTCCAGTTTTGAAGCTGCAACCCTTCTTCAGATACTTTTGCATCCATTGAGAAATGACAAAATAAGATAAATATAATGGAATGCTCTGTTCTCATTATGTGGGCCTTCTGAACTATACTA